TGGCTCATGCCTGTAATCTTAGCTACTCAGGAGACTGAGATCTGATGAGGTTCAAAGCCAACCTGGGGAAGGAAAGTCTATGAGACTTTTCTCACCAATTAATCATACATACACAAAAAAGCCTAAGTGGAGCTGTGGCTCAAGTGGTACACCAGCCTTGAGTGAAAAGTCTAAGGGACAGCACCCAGGTCCTGAGTTCAAGCCCCATACACGCAAAGATAAATAAATAAATAAATAAAGGTAAGGTCTCGTTTTGAGTACACTTTTCTGGAGTTGGGGGATATAGGTTAGTGATACTGTGCTTAGCATGTACAGGGCCTGGTTTCAATTCCCAGCACTAAAATAAAGAGGTACAAGAATACCTTCCCTCTATTCTGGAAATCCTTCCTAATGTCGGTATATATTTCTTCCAGATTCAATATATTTTCTCTTATTTTCACTTTCCCTGTCCAAGGCTAAAATCTCAGAGCAGTAACCCAGCAGGCCGTGATTCGCTGTCCCTTTAAGACAACCTTCTCCCCACGTGCCGTCTGGTTGGGCTGGCGATGCTGACGCACGCATGACGTCAATGGCAGCTGGTGGAGTCTGGGCACGAGGAGCAAAGTTGGGATGGGGGTGGGGGGAAAAGGAGGGAGGGAAGGCAGTTAATTTGCATTTAAAGGGGCCTCTTCCAGGTTAATGATCAGGGCTTTAAAGAAATCTGTATTGAGAAAACTTTCTATCCCAGGCTGTGGCTCAAGAAAATGGCGCGGTACAGCTGGAGTCGGTGGTGATTGAAGTTTGCAATGTCAATTATGTCCTTCCGCGGAAAGGGGGAAGTAGTCCGTCGGTGCCTAGGCTGGGAGCACGTGACCGGGAGGGGGGGCGGATGGGGGAGCCAAAGAAGAGGGTGGAGCTGGGGAGCGGACTGTCAGGCTGCGTTTCAGCTGCCCCCACCCCCACATCCTGCCCACCCTCCTGCAGCTGCCACCACATCCTGCCCAGCCGGGGGGCAGGGAACTCTGTGTGTGTGTGTGTGTGTGTGTGTGTGTGTGTGTGTGTGTGTAGGGGGGGTAATATACGGACTCGGACTCGGCTCTGGCACACCCCCCCCCCTCAGCTCTCTTCAGCTCCAGGGTGTGGCTTCTGCCCTTTGCCCCAAAGTCTGGCCTTAGGCATCCTGGCATTAGACTTGGAGCTCTGCTTTGCCAGTACAGCCTTGGACAGCTCTCTGCCTGACTCTGCCATCCATCCTTCCTTCCAACTCTGAAGTGAAACTTGAAGGAACCTCAAGACCAGAAGTTCCTTACAGACCCTTCATCCCTGGGCTAGTAGTTACTAGTGGGAGAAATAGAGTTGTTCAATAAAGCTTTTATAATCTTAACGCCAGTACACAACTGCACACCCGAATGCACATACACATTCAGATTCATGCGATGTATTTGCTGAGTGCATTCCATGCTGGTTCTGCAAAACTCTGAAGACCTGAGATTGAGTTAGATCTCAGTCTCTTAAAAAGCTCAGGTTCTGATGAAGAAGAGTAAATTTGGAAACCAAAAATGTCAGAGTGTATACTATGGTGTATACTGGGGAGATAGATGATACAACATGGAGAGTGCTACGCAAGTTGGCACAGGGCAGCACCAAATCAGTGATGAGAATATATGCCCCCAGCTACCATACAGCTGCTTAATGTCCTTTGCTTTACAAGCAAGGTGACAGATGTGGAGAGCAATGGGAAGTCTTTGTGGCGATCACTCAAAAACTGCTGCGAGAAGGATCAATCTGATAAAAGAATGAAATGGATGGTGATAGAACATTAAGATTATTCTAATGTCTGTGGAGAAGGTGAGAGAGGCCAGTCAATCCATGCAGATTAGAGGCCTGACCAGCAATAATGACTTCCCTGGGTTATACTTGTGGTAAACTGTATAAACGTATGGGAGGAATTTATACAACCTATTCTTTTTGGACTTTGGTGGACATCTAAATGTCTGATCATAGAGGATTTCATAGCAGCGTAGGCTTGTTAGGTGACTAGAAATGATAGGTGGGCACTTTGAAGTGAGGGAGGAAAAATGAGACCCTAGGTTTTTGGTTCTGCTCAATCATTCTACATATGAAGATTATGAGATGGAAAGCCTAGGCCATTTAGTGAGTCACTTTCCGGAAGTCCTTATTTCCATTCGAGCTTCCAGCAGCCCTCACTCCCTAGAGATTTTTTGTCTTCCTCCATGAAAATCAGGATCTTGTGCATGTTATTTTACTTCTTCCCAGAAGTTTACTCCACATTCTAAATTCGGTCCCATTAACAACATCAGCATCTCCTACTCTGTTGTCCTGTGCACTGTCATGTGTGAGCATCTCAGGAATTAGGTCACTTAATCTCTCACTGAGCTCTTCACTTCATCCGTTTTCCCTCCAGCTCCTGGCCCTTTAATACCCTCCCCAGGTGACTCACCTTCCTTCCTCATTCCTTTGTTAAGGACCCAACATTCCAAGGCTGGGAGGAACAGCCAGCCAATCATAGATCTGGCAGGCTTGCTTCTGGCTTGAGATTGGCTGGAGTTGTGATTGGCGGGAGACTCATGCTTATCTACAGGGATTGGGGAGGGGGTTTCTGGGAACTGGCCCTGGGAAAGAATTTGTTTCTGGGCTGCTTGTGTGAGAATCTTCAAGTAGAGCTTAGGCCAGAGGGCTCTCTGGCTTGGAGAGCTTCTAGATTTGAGGCAGGTTGAGAATTTAGCCCCCTTGGTCTCCTAGGGACTTTTTGCCCACCTTCCCCTCTCTGATTTGGGACCCAATGGACTGAAGGCTTCGTTCCCAAGCCTGTTCCTAAGAAGTCTTCCAACAGTCTTGGATCTCTCCAGTCTCAACATTCTGCTTTCCCGACGTCGGAAACAGCCGGAAAATAAACACCCTGATGACTAAACGATTTCTCCAGCTAGAGCCTGGGGAAGCACTAAAAATAGAGGCCACAAGTGAGGGGAGGTTCCCAACTTTGGGGAGGGGGGGCACTTTCCCATCCTGCTACTGCCACTGTGTCAACTCTGGCACAAAGCTCATGCCTCCAATCTGTGGGGAAGTGTTATAAGGGCTCTCCCTGCCTACCCTGATGTTTTGGGGGCAAGCTAGCCTTGTCTGACAGGGAGAACTTGCTCTGATGCTGGATACCCCAAACCAGTGGGGAATTGAGAAACCGCATTTAGGGATAATGTAGGACATTGTATAAATCAGGTTTCCTTACGGAGGGGCCAGGTAGAAAGGTTGGAAACTGAGGCCAAGGAAATAAGAGCCTGCTGGCTTCTAGTTCACGGTACAAAATAAACCTCCAACCTATTTGCAAAACAATCCCACTGCTCTACCCTTCTAAGACTGGTCTGAACTAACTGGAACCCGAAGGAATGTTTTGTCTTGCCCTTTGGCCCAAAAGCCTAAGTTTTTATAATGCAGTGTACTACACAACTTTGGTGAGCTAACTTGATTTTCATACCAAATGTATGTTTGGTGCTGTTATCACCATTTCTACTTCACTCTGGAAGATAATCAGGTAGAGAATTACTGTTCTTGTGTTAACAGTTAATAATAAGTGGTGGAGTAAGGATTTGAACTGAGGCAGGTTGGCTGCAAAATTGCTGCGATATGCTTCCTTTCTCTGTACATATTGGTCTAAGTACTAACCCAGAATTGGGTTTTTGTCCAGTATATTTAGACCCAGCCAGATAGAAATCAGTGTGAAGAACTGAGTGCCCTTCTGTTCTGCAAGATTCTTTGAGATCTATGTCAGATCCGATCATTTCCTCAAGCTTCGGGTTAGAAAGCCGCTTCCCTTGGAAGTATCAGGAATGTTGGCTGATGAGGAAAGCAAATGGGGTCCAGTGTCAGCGACCCAGGCACCTACACTCTTGTAGGGCCCTTAAAAAATCTCACCATTAAGATCTACTACTACTTCTTTACTGAGGTGCTTCTAGATGTTTCCTGGGAGGCAGATGGGGAGTGTGGGGGGCGCGCCCTTCAAATTGCCCCCTCGGCTGGGGCGCGCAGGCACTGAAGATTAGGTCACCCGCGAACTATGAGCGGTCGCTTTAAATTGCTGGGCGTCTGCCGAGCAGGGCCCAGGAAGGGGAGGGGGTTTGTCGCAGGTAGAGGGAGCCGTTGAGCTCCCCAGGTAACCTCTGAGGAGAGAACGTGGTCCTGTAAGTGGAGCTTTGTCACACATAAAGTGGGGAGATGGATTCTTCCCATCACTTACAGTCTCCTCTTAATTTTTCTACTTAAGACTCCTTCCTGCCTCCCAACTCTCCTGGGGCTTGGGGGTGTCAAGGTAGCGTGTGTGCCCGGGAGTGTCTGCGTCTCCCGCGGAGCCCCGAGGAGGAAGCTCCGAGAGCGCGGGGCGGCGGCGGCGCCCGGCGGCTGTCCGCGAGCTGGAGGGGGCACCGGGGGCACGGGACGATCCCTCTCAAGGCCTCTGGAGCCTCGCCTTTCTACTTTGCCTCGCTCGGTCTCCACCAATCTCTCCCTTCTCTCTCCCCTTCCCCGCAGGCGGAGGGATCTGCCGCTCCCCACGCCGCAGCCTGCTCGGGAGGGTGGCGGGGTGGGGGCCGCTGGCCCGGCCCGGCCGGCCCGAGGGAAGCAAGAGGCGGTGCCGCGCTCCGGACCGCCCCTGTCCGGCCCCGCCCCTCCGCCCCCATGGGTTCCTGCCATTGGGCCGCCGCCTGTCCATCACTTCTGGTCTCCCTCCCTCTTCTCCCCCTCCCACCTCTCAAGCTAGGCTGAGCTGTGCCTACGTCGGCCTCGACTCCCGGGGGCTGGAGGAGTTACCTTTGGAGCCCGAAAGGAGGAAGGAAGCAAAATATCAACAACAGTCGAGGCGGCTCCAGCGCTCGGCCCCGGTCCTCTCTCGCCCGCCGCCCGCCCGCCCGCCCGCCCCCGCGCCCACGACGGGGGCCAAGGCCCCCGGCGCCGCCCAGGGCCCGCGCGGACGCCGGCCTCATTTATTATTCCCCCCGCCCCGAGCGGCAGCTTCCCGCTGTGGAAGATACCCCAGACCTGGGGCTAGGGCCATCCCCTCCCTGCTGTGACACCCCATTTCCCCAGCGGGACTGGTGAGTAGAGAAAAATGGTGCGCCTGCCACTTTAAGAGCCCCCCTCCCCCACCCCGGGCCGGGGCTGGGGTGGAGGGGGGTCCGGACCGGCCCCGGAGGGGTGCTGTGGGGGGGTGGCCCCGGGCCGGGCGGAACTCGCGGAGCGGACCGTGTCTCCGCGCGGCGCGGGCGGGGGGTTACCCCGAGAACTGTTTGTGTCAGGGAGTCGGCGGTGGGGGGCCCGTGGAGTGGGTTGTGTGATTCCCTGGGGTGTTGGAGGTGCGGGTGGGGACCGGCGGGTTGCGGGGCGCGCCGGCCTGTTCGCGTCCGAGGAGCGGAAGGCCTCTGAGGGGTCTGGGAAAGGGCGCCATCCTCACAGGGGGTCTCCGGTGACAGCCTGGAGCGACTGACATTTTACCAGCCGGCTCGCCCTCTCCCTCCCTCCCCTCGCCGCCTGTTCCCTCCTCCTTGGCCCGAAATGGTGCCGAAGGGGGCCTGGGAGGGCGGTGCAGGGTGGGGGCGGGGGGAGCCGCAGCTGTTTGGGAAGCGGGGGAGGGAGGGGGGATGTTGTTCAGATGACACCCGGGGGGTGGGTTGGGTTGTGAGTGTGTCTCCCGGCCCGTGTTGGCCGGTGTTTTATGGAGTTGGGACGCCGAGTCGCCCCAGGAGATGGGCACGCCGGACGACCCTCCTTGGGACCTCCCAGCCCGGGTGGTTCCCAGACCCCCGATGCAGTTTGTCAGCAACCCCAGCTGACGAACCCCCTGGCCAGAAGTTTGCAACTGTTCAACATCTGGGCAGAGGAGTTCTCCAGTCTGCCTTTCCACCTATGGCAGGCTGAGCTGGGTTAGGAGTAGGGTCTGGCTAGGGAGGGGGGGTGGGCTTTGGGGAGGTTAGGCCTAGGGGATTAAGATACACTTAGTCTCCCCCCTACGTTTTCAGCCTTTTCACATCGGGGGTCGTGTGTAACAACGGAAAGTACTGGATCTCTGGTGATTCACACTAACCTGGCAGCAACCCTCTAGTGTGCCCCAGGAAAGGAGCACCCCTAGGCATGGGCTCACTTGACCTCGGAGTAGATTATGCCAGGTTCGTTCTGAATATGAGGCCTGGCCTCCCTTACCTCGTGCTGCTGGGTTGGGGGATGGTACAGTGGGTGGATCCTGTGCTCCTTCCCTGTGCCCAGCACCCCCATATATGACTTTTGTTCAGAGGCCTAGTTTCTTTGGTTTGAAGGTGGCAATTATTCACCTTCCCTCCATTCCCTGAATGGGCCCCCAAAGCATTTCAGGGGCCAGCCTGGACTATGGGAAGTTTGCCGGCTGGGGCAGTGACCTTGGGCTGTTCTGGCCTGGAGATAGGAGGGGAGCCCAGGCCAATATGAGATTGAGTATATTGGAGTCAGTGCTGCCCACTTCCTACTCCCCTTCAAGTGCCCCCAGAGGAGGTCTCCGTGGAGAAGTGCAATAAAAAGACACATGTCATTGTCCATAGTTGCCCACCATTTGTGATCGCACCAGCCTCAGGACTCAGTCTAGTTCTTCATCCTGGCTCTCCCAGCTTTCACAGCCTGCCTGGGGAATGAATTTCCTTCCTGTGGTTTCTCAGTGTGTTTGTGCAGGAGATGAGGGTGAGGTGGGACCCATGTGGGAGTGGCTGAGGCACTTACTGTATAGGATGGTTGGGGGACACTGGAATGGTAGCCTTTCTCCACTTGTCCCAAGTGTGGGTGTTGCAGCCCCTGGGTCTCAGTAGTCATATTCTCTTTGTTGAATATCCCGTCCTCCCAACATACTCTGTGTGTGCTTGCATGTAAGTGTACATTTGTAAGGAGTTTCTCTGGAGGAGAGAGGAGCTTTTACTCACATTACTGTAGCAACCAGAGAGGTTGAGCTTTTTACCTCAAAACACAAAGCAAATCTGTGTCAGAGCTTTAGTCCTTTTGCTCTTTCAGACACAGCCTCCTAGCAAGGAGAGACTTCAAAGGAAGACAGGCAAATGAACTCTGGTCCAAGAAGAAAAGCAGGAGCCAGAAAGCATCACAAACCTTGTGATGGAGGATGGGTATGGTGTGTGTGTATGGGGGAGGCAATAGAGCAATAGAGGTTTTGTTACAGTGCCTGTAACAGGATGGTAGAAGATTTGGAAAAGTAGCAGGTGCTGCCCATTGTCCATCCCACTCTGCCCCTCCTAGCTCCTGGCTCTTCTTGTAGGCTAGGAAATGTGCTTGTCTTTCTGACTGCGGTTATATAATCTCTCTCCAGCAGTGTTTTTTCTTTTTCTTTTTAAATCATTCCTGGGTCTTTCCTGGAGACGTGATGGAGAGGAGAAGGTACAGGCAGACGCCTTAAGTTTGGGGGTAGGAAGAGCAGCAGTAGGAACCTGAGGGGTTCCATAGCCACAAAGGGAGTAGGAGGTTAGGCCCTCATTGATTGTGACCCATCTTCCTCTGATCCTGCCCTGGGGTGGTAGCTCTGCTGTGGGTATCCTTGGACCTCATGCCTCCAGAGAGGCCCACACCTCTGCCAGTCTTGTCAACCTTCTCTTCCTGGAAAAACTGGACTCCCTTCCTTCCCTAGTTAGCACTAGGTACAAAATGTGTATTTATACTGGCCTGGTACAGGCCCTTGTTGAATGAACACTTTGCCACCCACCTGTGTACCCCCTTGGGGAGAAGGGATTCCAGGGACAAATGAGTAGGTCCAAGGTTGCCATGGTTGTATTTAAGCTGGCTTCCTGCTTCTCTGCCCTCTGGTCTGGACAGTGATGGCCCTACTGGAAAAGAGCAGTTGGTGGGGTACAGATCTTCCTCTCGGACACAAATATAACTATTTAGCCAGGTTCTGAAAGGGGCTAAGGATTCCATATAGGCAAAGAACCTATCATTTAGGGTCAGATTCCAGGTCTGTGACCATGGTGGTCACCCTTAGGGACCATGGCTGGGACTCTTCCTGCTCTGTAAGGCCAGCTTGTCTGAGGCAATTAGCTCTCTTTTACAGGGAAGAGGGAAGGAGGAGATGGTGGTGGGGCCAGCACAGCTTCAGCATCACTGTAATCGTTGGTGGCTTTTATGAGCCAGTCATGGGGCCAGAGTCCAGCCAAACCTCTGTCCTGTCCCAGTTTGGTGACTTACTCATGGGAAGAAAGGACAGTATTAGGGCCTTAGAGCTCTGTTTGAGAAGCTGGGCATCTGACTGTAGTGGTTAATGTGGCCCTGTCTGTTCAGTTACAGCAGGCAAGATAGAGCTTAGACTTCAGGAAGAACTTCTCAGTGAGACTAGGTTGGGATAGAGAGAGATGGCTTTTAACTCGGCCTGGGAAAGGTGGGGATCTCAAAGTACTTTCTTCTCCAGTGGATCTGCTAAAAGAATACCTTGACCTTTGGCCTAGTAGAGTTGGTGCTATTTGGCTCCTGGAATATTTATTTTCTCTTCTCTCTCCTTGCCTAGGACAAAAAGTATTATGAGGTGAGTTTGTGCTGGAGCTAGCCTTTGAGCTTCTTTCTCCCAGCAAGAGCACTGAGTGTGGGAGGAGGGGTCTCTTGCAGACTGGCAGGTCCAGATGCACCTGGCAGGCCTACAGCATTTAGTGTCATACATGTATGAAGGTGTGTGGTGCATACTTGGGTGTGTAGACACCCACAGAACAGCTGCCACCCTGCGGGAGGTGGGGGTAGTGAGTGGCAAAGATGATTAAAGGATTGGAGAGTGGAGATGGGGTGAGGGGACTGGAGGCAAGAGGCGAAGGGCATAGAAGAACTCTGAAGAGAGAAGTATTGGCTGGAGCAGGAGGGATTGAGGTTAGACCACAGATGGGCAGAGCCCTGTCTGTGAAGTAAAGAGTATGGCTTGTGAGTCAAGGAGCCCTGGCTGACTTGGATCCCATCCCCCATTCTTCTTGGTGGCCCTAGCCCAGCCTACCTCTGCACTTACACTGCCTGTGTCCTTGGGTAAGTTGTCCCCTGTCTGGCCTCAGTTTCCAGGTGTACATGAGTTTCACCTTCAATCATACAAACACCTGGGTGTTTTGGTAGTGTGCTTGGATTAACCCTCCTCCTCCAGGAACAAGGCTACTCAGTCTTTTCAAGGCTGCAGCTGAGCCCTCAGGCGTTTGGGAGCAAATCCTCTGCCTAGGTGATCCTCAAGGCCCTCTGCATCTGCTTTTCCTTTTTCCTAGGCAAGGCCACAGTCTGCCTTCTTGAGAGGCAAGCCATGTTTGTAGGGGCAGGGGGATGACTACAGATTCCTACACGGCACCAGGTCCTGCCTGGGCTGGGCAGGGCAGGGCAGCTATGCTTGTTGTCTGCCTGTCTACTTTCTGCTGTAGGCTGTGAGGGAGGGCCCTGTCCGAAGCCCTGGCCTGTGGCTGGCCACACCCAGGCGGGACCATATTTACTCATTTAAGCTTACTCTCCCCAGAGACTCCAGGCTGTAGGCCTGGTCACCAACCTTGGCTTGGTGCCCCCCAGCCTGTGGTGTGTGAGCCACTCCTCTTGAGCTGGGCAGACAGGCAAATGCACCAGGCAGAAGCTTCCTGCCTGTATCAGGGAAGCTTTGCCCTCATGCTTACCCACTCACCCAGCTCTCTAGCACAGTTCAGAGTCTCTAAATGACAACTTTTGCCATTCTTGGAGGAAGGGTAGTTCCATTTTTATGTCCTTGTGTGCTGAGCTCTGGACTGGACATGATAACCTATGAAGACTATTTGCCTCCACAACTGGTTTTTGTAATGGGGAAAACTGAACCCCAGGAATTTAAGTGACTTACTTAAACTTTCCTGGATAGGAGGGCTTTTTATCCGAGGCTAAAGAAGGGATACTGCCTCAGGGAGCCCTCAGAGGAGGAAGGGGAAGAGATGTTGAGAGTTAGTAAAGTCCAGCCTGGTAGGCGTCCAGACAAAGGGCAGAGAAATAGAGTTTGGTGGCAAGCTGAGGGGAATGTTGCTTTGACCCCATGAGAAGGGATTTTTTTTTTGGGGGGGGTCTGGTCGTGGGGCCTGAACTCTGGGCCTGGACGCTGTCC